ACACACACACACACACACACACACACACACACACACACACACACACACACACACACACACACACACACACACACACACACACACACACACACACACACACACACACACACACACACACACACACACACACACACACACGGACACAAGATGGCCGGCTCTTGCTCGGGAATGTGTCTGATGACTTTCGCGCAAGAATTCTCACATCAACTCGGTACAGTGGTACCCTGGCCGTTCCACAGCACCGCATGGCTGAATATGTACGGGAAGTGTATGAAACAGTATCAAGTACGTTTCTGACTGGTTGGGTATTCTGTGATTGGATGCGCAGTGCTGTGGAAACTGGCTCAACGAATGGACGTCCACCATGCTAACAGGCGAGCTCGGATTACTGCCCTCACTGCGCGACATGATTTGCACACGAGCCTGCCGTGCTGCGATCAAGTTTGGGGACCAACTGACACGTGCTCAAGTCCGCAGCCTCATCCTTGAGCTGAACCGGTGTCAGGTTGGTGCCCTCACCGGCTGTGTCCGTGCCCAGATCTTGGGAGCTTTGTTTCAAACTTCCTCACCCCCCCCCCTTTTTCTCCTGACTTTGCCCGTCTCGTAGACGCCTTTTCAATGTGCCCACGGCCGGCCGTCTGTGGCGCCACTCGTCATTCTTCCTGATGACCCTTCCAGGCCCACAAGCCCATCTCCCCGTCCCGATTCGCGCCCAGTCAAGTTTAGTTGAAGTGTCCGCAGTTTGCCCACACATCACAATGTTGACATTCACCACACACCACACAACAACAACAACAGAGAACCCAAACAAGCGTTTTTGACATGTCGGAACAGCAACGAAAACAACAACATCAACAACAACAAGAACAACATCCTGTCACCCACTTCGTCAACGTGCGCAACCTGACCTTCAAGACATTGCTCAGTGAACCCACAACCTAGCATTTTTTCTTTCTTTCCTCCTGTCGTTCTTTCATCTTCTTTGCCACTGTGCGCCATGTCGGTCGTCACCACCATCCTGTGCTTGTTGCTCACGGTCATGTTCCTCATGGCTGGCACTGCCAAACTGACGGATGCCTTTGTCCCGGACCTCCACAACGAGCTGGTGGGCAAGTTTGAGACCTACGCCAAGGTACGGCAACTCGCTTTGCGTTTTGGTTCTTACTTGCTGATGTAAGAGAACCCCCCCTTTTTTTCTTTTTTCTGCAGCTCGTCGGCCATTTGCGGCTCCTCAACTCACGATGCTTGGCTGCTGCCTGTATCCCCTCTCCCGGTTTGCCCTCAACCCTGCTCCCTTGGGTTGGATGCAATACTTGGCATTGATGGTACACAGGTCTTGCAGACGGTGCAATATGGCGTGTCTGGTAGCACCTTCCGTCAATTCCTTGGCGTCGTGGAGACGGCTGCTGCGCTCCTGCTCTGGGTTGCCCCCCAGCTGGCTGCCAGTGTGTTGGCCATCATCATGACAGGTGCCATTTACACCCACCTTCTGGTTGAGGACCCTCCGCAAGCCATGGCCATGCCCGCCGTGCTGCTCCTCTTCTCTGTTATTGTTGCTGTCAGTGGCCGCAAGGCCAAGGGCTCCGGCAAGAGCAAGAAGAACTAATCGACTTGTTATATCCGTTTTTTTTCTTCCGTTTGTTTCTGCTCTCTTTCTCTCCCCTCACTTTTGCTCTGCTACGTGGCTCTCCGCCCGTTTGCCCGCGTGGGCGATGTCAGAACGTTGAGGTTGAAAGGAATTGAGAAGCATGGTGTCAAGGTTCGTTTGCTAACATGTAAGTACAATCATGTCATAAACAGAATTCACATCATATCTATCGTAGCATCCAGCGTCCAACCCGCACAGCGGGAATCAAAGAGGCCAAACCAAGCCGGTGCCAATGCAATGAAGTTGAACGTCCAAGCCCGCGTCAAGCCAGCGCGCGCGTTACACGTTACACGTGAACCGATGTACCCCCAAGGCGAGGGCCTGCGCGCCACAATGGGTTGTCAAACAGGGTCGACGGTTCGTTCCACTCGGTTGAGCCACCTGTCGGTAAGCTGGCTAACCGCTCGAGTCGTGGGCGTGCCTCCTACAAACGCCACCCGAGGGTGAGCATCTTGACACGCAGACCCATAGAAAGCAAGAATTGCATTCACAAGCAAAAGAAGACAAAAAAAAAAAAAAAAACTGAATCATCCGCAAGAGGTCACGCACCGAATCTGGTCGTCCCTTGAGTCCTGAAGCACGGTGGTTGGAAGCAAACACCTGAGCTGGGTCGATGGTGGCGCTGCGCACCAGCTCGCCTCGCTCGGGCGATGACACAGTCATAACCTAAATACCAGAACGCTGTATGAAACAACGGTCGCCCGCATACCAGATTCGCCGGTTGCTCAAAACAAAGGGCATTTGCCCACTCAGCTGCACGAAAGCCGCCGATCCATGCGCCCAGCAACTGACCTCTCGTCCTTGCCGCTTCATCACCCGGCCATCGTCCAGTGACACCAAGCGTGACGACTAATTAAAAGTCCGCCCGCCACGGAATGATAGCATTAGATGCCCCCCCCCCCCCCCCCACAAAAACACACACACACAGACATTAAAACGGGGGGGCCATCTGCTCCCCTTTCACATCTACAAACCGCACATACCTGAACGGGAATGCTTGAAGGTGATGCCTGGAAAAATGCGAACACCGCAGCTCGACCAAGGGCTCGAGTGCTGACCCCCCCCACTTCAATGATATCCTCAGTACGCAAGCCCCGACGGTAGGCCTCACCTCGAGCTTTTAGCATGGCAATTCTACGCGCACCCGTACAAAGCAGGCATGCCCCCATAAACAACAAAGGGTTCTCATGAGATCAGAAACATGAACAGGTCCGCCCCGACCCCCCCAATGTTCTATCAACTTTAGTCGAGACGAACCGCGGAGGAGCATTCTCGCTGATGTCAAATTCAGACATCAGCGATGCTTCAAAATGGACCGTTCGCACGGGGCCAAATGATGAATGAACATGATAAAACTCAAGAGGCCCCAGAACAGCCAACAAATCATCTAGCACAATTGACAGCCCAATGCATTGAGCCTTTATCAGATGTGGACCGGACCCTGGCCTCTGCACATGCACGAGACGTCCAACAGCGCGAGCCTTACCGTCGCGCCCGTCGGAATTGCTCGTCGTGACCCAGCCAAAGTTGGGCTGCGTCAAGCGCTGGGCGATTGCTTTAGTCGGCAACATTGCCTCCAGCTCGCGTTTAGAACCAACGCGCTCAAACAACATGCTTCGATCAATCGGTCGCAAAGCCTCGTGTACCTCGGCAGCCCACCCCTCAAGCCGCAAACGCAGGTCGGCCGCCCGCGGCAACTTATCGGCTTGGTCACGGAGCACATGCTTGAAAAGCAGTTCCGCTCGTAACAGACGCGCCACACCTGATACACACAAGCCCCAGCCCGTGAGAAACCAGTGAAGGATCGAATACCACGAGGCAGTTGCGGGAACCAAGCAGATCTCGCACCACTCCACTGGGCGGCGGAGGTGCTGTTGGCTGCGGCTTGCGCATCGCTGAGTTGCTCGAGTCCCGTCCAAAAGTCAGCCAGGGCCTCATACATGACCGCCTTGATTTGACACAAGACTTGCCAGGATGGGGGAAGATAGCCTGGAAATATGCAACATGAGGCAGCAGCAAGCATGTACCATCCTTTTCAAAAGCATAAACGAAGCGAGCACGTCCGCATGAACGTACCGTGCAAGAGATTGGCCGACAGTTTGTTGGATACGTGCAGCATCATATCCGCCACAGTCGCCGCCTCCCCGGGCGCCAATCTTCAGAAGAGGTAAGAAAAGAAGGAAGGGGGTTCCCATTGCATGGTCAGCACGTTGTTGATTTTCTGACACTGCAACGGATTAGGGCAAGCTGAGGGCAGACCTTACATACCGAGGTCGAACAGCGAGCTGTTGCAACAACAAACACTCTTGAGCCTGAGCCAGGCAGAGTGCTCCGATCACGCGCAAGGTGACGGGTGCGAGGTCAGCACTATCTCGCAAATTGTACTCCTCAGCCACAAATTGCACCAACCCCGCCGCACGCTCAAAATAGGCAGCAGCCCGGCCACACTCCTACCACAGCAAGCCAGATGCTTGAGATGGGGCTCAAAAATACAACCATTCTCAACGACTTGGCCATACCGATACCACATTGAAGCACACCGGCAACAAGATCTCCTGCCACATGCAAACGACCAACCTCAGCCACTGTCAAATCACAAGCAACTGCCAAGTGGGTGCTCAAACTAGCGGCGTTGAAGAGGGTGGCAGCTGCTTCGAGGGCAACAGCCGAGGACGAGCTGGGCTGGCCGTTGAAGCAATCATACCTAAGCCATGGCAACCACCGATGCGGCAAATATTCAGGCGTGAGGATGGAGGGGCTAGTCCTCGTCCAGAAGGCCACTGTCCGGCGAAGGGCCAGAACTCGAAAGCAAAAAAAAAAAAAAAAAAAAAAAAAAAAAGCTCGATGCAAATATCAGGAGTGACATGAATTCAAGAACCGAGTGGCCGCACCATTGAAAGGTCACGCCCGGAAGCGTGCGTCCGTCAAAAGTCAGCCGAGTTTGAAGTCCACGAAGATATTGAAAATATCGAAGATGTGCATAGAGGCTCTCATCGCTCCGCGTGTGTTCGCGCACAAACTTGCGTGTCGTCAGCAATTGCTCCTGCACGCCAGCCGTCAAGGAAGAAGTCACACCAAAGTGGTGGTGAATCACTTCCATAAGTTGTGCCTGCGAGGATGCCAGACATCAATCACACCAAGGGACAGGTGCAAGGATCAAGCCATGAGCAAGAATGGACGTGCACTTGACCGGGCACGAGCTGCATAAACGTGTTCACAATTACGACAAGGGCTAGGCAATCGCACCTCGACAGTATAGCCACCAGTCTCCTTCAGACCAAGCGCCACCATTGGCCAGGCTGGCGCTCTGTCAGCCTCAGGGGCTTGTGTTTTTGTGGCATGTAGACTCTTATGTGCCAAATGAACACTGCGGCGCACATTGGCTTGCATCTACAGCAGGCAAGGCCATGGCAAAAACATGACCACCAACATTTCATTCAGCAGTCGGAGCGTGGCCATGCACTGCGTGGGGGGAGGGGACGTAGAGGGTCGAGCAACCAACGCGATCGTTGAGCTGATGAAGCTCAGTGCGTAGGCGTTGCAAATTAGAATTGGCAAAGGCAAGGGTGACGGCAACTTCTTCCTCTTGGGGCTGCAATCGCTTCCGCTCGCGCTTGGAGGCACGGTGAAATGTCTATTCATGCCCAACCATGGGACGCACATCATGATTCAGGGGACACGTGATGTCTCATAATGGGCGTGAGCATTCGCGACTACGTACACGCAAGAGTTTGGTCGCGCCTTCACGGAGCCGCAGCTCTTTTTCTATGGCAGCATTGAGCTCATTGCGACGGGTTTGGACCAGCTGGGTCACTGTATTGCGGCGCAAGAGTGGGGGTGGCACTTCAGGCGCCGAGCTTTTGGGTGCCGCGTCCTTTGTTGCGTCACTTGAGAAGTGACTAGCGTTGTGTGGGGACGTGAGGGCGACATAATTGCTGGGAAACCAGCCACTGGCACCAGGTGTGCCCGTTAACTCGGTTGGCACCGATGTTCCAGCGCGGCTGTCGGCAATGGCCCGACCATACCACCAGCCCCCATCGGGACGTTTCAAAATCAATACGCAAAGCCCTGGTTGCAGCGCCAGCTCGTCCTACCGACAGTCAACGAAAGAAGAAGGCGGGTAGTAGAATGAATGCGTGTGACAAACAATGGGAGCAGAGGCGAGTCAAGGTCGACTGCTCAAAGGCGCGGAGGAGAGACGGCAATCGGCCCCAACCTCGTGAGTCGGAGCAAAGGCAAATGTCGCGCGCGCAAAGGGCTGCTGCAACGGGGGCGCTTGAGAATCCGCGGGTGGTGAGGCAGTATTGGCGCGCACACCTGCAAGCGCCACGGTTACGAGAGGTGGGTCACTCTGTTTGGTGACGTCATTCAGCGAGTCGGTGTGCCAGGCTGCATCTTCGTGATCGCTGTCAGAATCAAACGCGGCCTCATCGGATTCACCAATATGGGCAAGCGGCTGTGAAACAGGGTCGGGTACATCGAGGACACCGGCCACGTTCAAGGATTGGCTGGACGTGGAGCTCAACAAGACCGGACGCGAGACCAGGCCCGTGGAGGTGCGGTCGTCGGCGGTCTGCTTGAGCGCCAATGACTGTGACTGCGAGGCATGGGTGGCTCCTGAAACGTAAGCACTTGGACACCATCCCTCGGTCTTGCGGGAGAGATTCTTGACTTGAACCCAGCCATTGCCGGGCGTTGCAAGGATTTCGAGCTGATCTCCCTCTTTAAGGCGGACTTGATGTTTCTTGCCCTTTTTGTAATTGAAAAGCGCCTGGCGACGCTGGCCGGCGAATGCCACAGCCTCGGGCGTGCTCAGCTCGGGAATCTGTAAAAAGTGCGGTCGAGTGTCAAAGGGGGGGACGGTGAGTGGCTGTGCAAAAGAGGGACCTGGAACCTATGAGCGCGACTATGACATGTACGGCAGTGGACCGACCGAAGCGGGTCGGTTCATTGTGGAGGTCGAGAAGCTAGCCGGGCACGCTTCCAGCTCGAGCCAAGACCGTAGGCTTCCTAGCCAACGAGCCAAAGGCCAAGGATCGTACAAGGCCCACCCGGATCTCTGCAAGCCGGTGCTGAGTATCACCTGCTCCGTGCCTCAATAACGTGGCGTTGACGAGCGTGTTTGGTGCCTCTCAGGCGGCGGGAGCTGAGGTTGTTGTTTTGGTCCAGAGTTCAAACCAGCTGGCGGGCCAGCTTAACAGGTTTCTACGTGCTCAGTACAGCTATTCCAAATGCAGGATCCTGCAGCTGGGCGAGCCGTGATAGCAGTGGCTACACGACCCCTGGGTGGGAGCGGGCACAGATGGAAATGCACGAGCGAGCGCAGCGCACTGCCCTCCCCCAACGAACATCACACACAGCGAATGACGTTGTTGACTTGTTCACTTATTGCTGACAACACGTCAAACGACTTGTCGGTACATTGCTGCATGAACCCGCTCACAAACTACGATAACATGTAATTTTAAGTAAATAACTAACATTATCGGTGTATTGGGTTCGACAATAACTCTACATATTACTGCGTTTGTTCCCGACATCTCGACGACAACAAGCGCTTGGCTTCGCCAACCGCTTCAGCTTGATCCAACGTCAACTTGACGCACCCAATGAAACGATTGCATGAAGGCAAGCCGATCAAGAGCGAGATGCGGTCGTCCCCCATCTTCCTTCCTGTTATGGGTGTTTGGCTTGTTCTCTAGTTCTGTGGCCCGGACTTCTCAGATGTGATGGTGGATTGATAGACAGGGTGACTGGGTCGTAAGGCAGGCGTTGCACGAGATGATGTACCGTGAAGCTTTGATCAATTGAGTCGGCCAAGAACGGTTTTGCCATGATCCTCTCGAGCATGTACCGCAGCCCGACCGCCCCTCACCGCTTACTAAGGCCTCCCGAGTCGTAGCTGTGGCTCGTCGATTGGATATAGTGACGGTGGCGCCGAATGCGGTCCCCAAGATGGGCTGTGGCTTCTGAAGACCATGAGGTCTTGCTCATCTCTTGGATAAACTTGGCTCCGTCACCCTCCGTGCCGTCCTCCACCTCGCGAGGCTGCAGGGCTGCGGCCTCCTCCTCCCGCAGCGACTGTTCGTAGCGATCTACGCGCTCCTTGCGGCCTTTTTGATGCCATTCGGCGTTGGACATCATGGCTTTGAGGCGTGCGGCATCGCGCTCAGCCTGATCGTCTACCTTTGGTGGCGCCGTGCGGGCTGGAGCTGGGGCAGGTCCGGGACCGGGGGCAGGTCTATCGTGGTGCCGGGGCGGTGAAACTCCTTCGCGACGACGGTCGGCAAAACGCTGACGCGGCGGTGACCGCGACCGATAGCGACGAGGGGGTGACCGGGAGCGCGACCGATAGCGGCGAGGGGGTGACCGATAGCGACGGGGTGGTGATCGAGACCGCGACCGCGATCGTGAGCGATAGCGGCGAGCCGGTCCCCTGCCATCCCGGTTTGACGGGCCGCGACGATCGTCGTCGCGCTCATGGTGTGCTCGTTCCGCACGGTAAGAATCTGCGTCTCGACCTCGCGCCGGCTCATCGCGGGCTCCCCGCCCGACCGTATCTCTACGGTCGGCGCGAGGTGCGTGTTCGTGCGCATGGCGGTGCTCGCCTTCGGGGCGTGTTGAGGCACGGTGACTGCCCTCTGCCTCGTCAGTATCGTCCTCACCCTCATGGCGGTGGTGCTTGTGCTTCTTGCTCTTCTTCTTCTCCTTCTTCTC